ATAAGAAAAAAGAGGAAGTTATCCCCTGTAGGTGATGATAACATGGAGGACATTAAACTAGTGGACAAGTGAGTATGCTAACAAGCCAGGAAAAGCCAAGTGAGCAAGTTTGGGCAACACAAGTTAAAATAACAAGAAAGATGCATGAAATAATAATGACTGGCCTTTTGTATTTTACACATACATACATGCACATACAAAACAATGCATATATATTTGCGATTGTACAGCTAAGAAAATGAATTCGCCGAAAAGAGACTCTTCGCTGATCTACGTGTTTTGTTTTTATATAAAAGGAACAACAAGGCTTGGGAAATAGGTAACACATTAATAATTTAATCATATAACTATAGAGTCAGAAGCCTCGGTTGCAATCAAGCTACTGAAGTTCAAGAAGGCAGCGGGACCAGACAGAATCCCTTTGAGCCACTGGACACAGGCCTAGAGACAGCATAGGATATACAGACACCACTATTGGAAAAGGTTCGAAAAGAAAGAAAATGTACCTATGAACTGGAAGAAAGGTTATGTTTCTGAAGTGTCAAAGAAGGGTGACTTAGGACTCGGAAGGAACTAGCATGAAATAATGTTTCTGTCCACGCCAAGTAAAATATTAATTCGCATTCTCCTGGAGAGAATAAAAAAGATTCATTGGACACAGAACTCCAGCAATCGGAACAAGCTGGATTCAGAAAAGACAAACAATGTGCGAATCAAATTGCAACCCTACGCATAATCACCGAAAAGAGCATGCAATGGTAGTCAAATCTCTTTCTCGACTCCATAGACCTTCTAAATGCCTTCCACAGCTTTGGGAACCATTTCAAATCAATGAAGTGAAGTGCTCTAAATCTTTTTCGACTATTACTAATGATGTTCCTAGTTGGGATGGATTGAATTATGCGGTAAGCAGCGTGTGGAGACAGAAAACAGGAATAGGTTGGACCAGCGATAAGAAGATTCTAGAAGATCTGGATGCCGGTCGTGGATAATTTATGTTTATTGTCACGCAAACTCGAAGACTTACAGGCAAAAGCCAACAAACTCGCTGAAGAAGCGGTGAAGAGAAAACAGAAGTCCAGATGAACACAGAGAAGACGAAGGTGATGAAGATACCCCAACGACTAACACCAACAATGACCAGCACCCATCACTATCAATGGAAGAAACTTTAAAGAGGTCACTTCCTTCACTTGTCCGGCTAGGAAGCATTGTTTCAACCACAGGCACACGTCACGGATGAATATGTCAAAGTCAGCCAGCCAGCCAGAAACGGATAGGCAAGATATGCCTTCATCAACCTGAAACCAGGTTGTGTGTGACAGACATAAAAGGAGAGAGAGAGAGACAGAGGGATGAATCATGATCATTTAAGCTCTAATACATCATCACCTGTTAACTATTATTACTATTATTTTTCAAGAATTAGTTCTTAGAGATTCTGTTAATTTCAGGTTACACCACGAATTGATATCAGTTAGGCAACCACTTAAAACCAGTAGGGAGTACTGGATAGCTGTTTCATCGTAGCTTAGGACTCTTCGTCAGTACGCGATCACTGCCGAGGTTCGAACTCAGGACTTTCCAGTTATAAGGCAAGCTAGCTGGTATACTGTTCAGCCACTGGGACTTGATTCAGTAGACCATGAATTCTAAATTTTTTTTTGATTTACAGCTTGATTCGACACTGTATTTTCGGTACAAGTATGGAATTTTCAGCAGGGATATTGGTAGGCCAAATTTTGCAGGCCGATCATAGATATCAGGTGTGCGTCGGTGCGGGCTCGAACCCCGGACCATGTGCATGGTCGGCGAGAGTCTTAACCACTGTGCCACCGACGCACATGATTTTAACGTTTCCCAAACTAGAATGAAACAAGTGTCCAGTACTTCCTGTTGGTTTCCAGTGATTCTCTAACTGGTATCAATCCATGATCTAACCTGAAACAAATAGAATCCTTACAAACGAACTCTTTGAATTTAATCTGATGCTTGCTGGTGACTTGCTACAGGAGAAAATCACCTGGATTGAATTCTAGTGAGGAGTCGTAACCAGCAGGGATCCATTCAGTCGGGAGTGAGAATGGAGTTCTTGCCGGCGGTGGCACTCAAATTCATGGACTGGCTATTGAGTCGGGTCCCAGTGGTTGCTTATTATTATTATTATCAATTTCCAAAAGATGTATGTATAATGATTAAATACATGAGACAATACTTTTTTTACAAGGCAAAATAGGAGTACAATTACTTCTGATGCTGTCAACAGAACGTATTTACATATTTTGACGACAGTTGAAGGCAGATAGCATCTTAGTTAGGTAGTATTCATTTCCGTCCCTACTGTTTCGTTTTGGTTTTTCTTCTTTCTGACATTACATAATGTACATTTTTATTGTTATTTCAATCTTATATATATATATATATATATATATATATATATATATATATATATATATATATTCAATCTATGCTTGTAGTATATTGTTCTATGCAGACTGTTTGTGTCATATGAGTATCCTAAATGAGTTTTGTTCTCTTCTGCCTCTCTCTCTCTCTCTAGCCTATTAGTTAACAGTTTTTCTGCAGTGATGTGATGAACATATCACTGATATCATTTTGCTGTAAAATATTCTGTCGTCAGAAACAGAACAATAACTGATTCGTTTACTGCAAACATCAGATTAAATAGGAGTACTCAGGTAGTAAGGATTGATATAACTTCTCAATTAAGTGAAGTGGCCAGTATGCTCAAAACTATTGCCTTTCTCTATCTTTATAGTAGGTGTCAGTGCTGACCAATTCTGTGGCGCCATCTTACATTGGATAGGGGAGAATCACATACCAGACATATAAAGATTTATTACAAAACGTCAATTATATATATATATATATATATATAAATACACTATTGTAGTCAACAGACACCTGAAGTCATCTGAGAAATGATCTAAACCTACATTGTCTGGCCCTCAACACTTTCTTTACCGACAACTTTCCCTGTCTTGCGTCTCACCATCAGGTAGGATCAGAAGTTATTAAAAAACGATTATATGCTTGCACAATCAAGTACAAGAACTCAACTAACCCCTATTTAACCCACATGTCGAACAAAATAATTGAATCCTTTATCCTCTCATGTAAAGAATATAACAAACATTGGTGCAGGATAACATGAATCCATCTCATTCAGTTAGTTCTCATCAGTTGTATTCAACTTATAATCATAAATAATTATGTCAGCGTAAAATTGCACATATTTTTTGTCATCAACAAGCATAGCGTAAGAGTGTCATAGTGAGATAAAACATCAGGATGACAAAGTAGAGTATTACAGTGTAAACATATATATACGCATATATCTTGTAAGAAGTTTCTAGAAAATTAATTGCCAAGTTCGTCAAATGAAAAGGTGATTGTATAATATGATGAATTCAAAATGGCTTAAGTCTTCTTCACCATAAAATGGCTGAAAGCTGAACTATGTGTGTAGAAGGAATCGGTTGTTGGGCTTCAAATATCCTTTAATAAATCTGGGTCTTCTAACTTCATTAACTTATCTATCCAACCCTCCCTCTTCTATGTTTACGTTTGACATCTATAAGAGACAATTCGACTTAATCTTATAATATTACATAACCACCTTTTCATATCCAACCCGTGAAGTCTAACTTTTACCAATTCGTGATGCAGTTACCGCGACCACGAACCAGTGACATCAGTGGGATATCCATCCTCACACTTGATTGGTTGGACCTCACTAGTCACTAGTCATTCACTCCTTGATCTCCCTTTATATCTACTGTTTCTTCGTGTGACTGAAATTTAGGTTGTTAATAATCGTCCTCCTGTCTACAAACATTACGTACAATGTGTCATTATATTACTGTTCCCTTTGGTTTCGAATAGAACACAGGGTTTCAGTATCAAGTTTCTCTTAAATCCTGTACTAATCTCAGTTGTTTTCAGCCTTTTGCATGATTGTATATAATCGCTCATCACCTTCATGTCACGCTTGGATGCCTATCCGGCTTGCATTCGAAGGTTTTGAACAGATTGATTCACTCAACGGTTTCCTCAGTGTGCACCCAATGCACCTTCATTTCTGTTAGGTGACAGGCTGTTGATTGATTCGATAACCTCCAGAGTATCTTGTTGCTCAGCCCTTCTAACCGGCCATCTAAGTGACCAGTATGAAGCGAAAGTAACTGTTGATACACGCCTATTATATAGGTAAGATTGGGCATTGGTGGGACTAACGACTTGATCCCATAAAAAATTAACCCTATCGCTGCGGAGAGTTAAAAGCACCGGAAAAGTGCATAGAGGTACAATAGTCGCTTCAAGATAAAAATATATAAATACGGTTAGGCGCATGTACTATTGCGTGCATGTCAACTATTAGACACCTCTAATTTGGCATAACTTTATTTATACTACTTATATATTTGTTTCATGGATATCTCAGTAATAAATTTAAAAAACGGGAATAAAATGTATCTAATCGATAGCATGTCAAATACAAGTACTTTGGTGTCTTTTCAAGTGTATAAAAATTTTATTGTTTTATTCCCTTACTTCCCACCAGTGGAACATAGAGGCTTCAAGCTAGGGGTTGAAGTACCGGTAACAGTGGTGTTTATTCATTTTTACGGATTAGGGTTGCTGCTGGCCTCATGCCCAACTTTCCCTCTTTACAAGTCTTATCAATGGCTTAGTGAGGTAAAAGGAGAAGTGCGGCATCGGCTGGGATTGAAACTTGGACCACATGCGTGGTTGACGAGCATTCTACCACTGTGCCATCGACGTTACATACACATGAAACCATAAATCTATGTATTATTTATGACTGTGTCTGTGGTAATGAGTACTTCTCAGACGCTTTATATGTACATCGATCCCCAAAAAATGTTATTAAAAATTCAGGAGAAAAAAAACAACCAACAAACAAGCAAACAAACGAACAAGGAAAACGTCAAAAAAAGCATAAGGCTACTACTTACTTTTGAGGAAAATCCCAATATTGATTGCATAGACTGAAAAATTAATTCAAGAGAGAAAAACATGAAGATAAAATGAAAGTCAAAAAGAAGAAGAAGAAGATATGCATATCAGGTGACAGAGAAACATAATCTAATTTTTATGTTTTTTCTGCTTGTTAACATTTGCACTTTCACATATTAGATATTAGATAATATTACCAATAGAAGACATGAATGATATATGATATAGGTGACTATTCTTCTTACAAGAACTCAACGCAACTTCTTCCTTGAGCTTGTTGCTAGTATGCATCAGATTCATTTCTAAGAGTTCGTTTGTAGGGATTTCATTTCTCTCTAGTTTGACTGATATCAGCTAGAGAAGCATTAAAAAGCGGTAAAAAGTGCTTGATAACTGTTTCGTCCCATTTTTAGACTTTTCAGTAGTACGCCTTGAAGACTGCATCAGGAATAGAGCTCAAGCCCTTCGGGTTGCCATACCAGTATAGTTAACCTTTCGGGAATATACTGGCCCATAAATTCCATTCTCATATCATTTCATCATCTTCGAAAGAACGTAAGTCAATGTCATCGGAATGTGTTTGTCTTCATACTCAGATTGTTGGATTGTGCTGGTTATGACTTCTTACTGAAACTTCAGGTGGCTTCAAACCAACATCTTTTTTTGATTACATGTGCGTGGTGCTGAAATGTCCCAAACTAGGGCGAAACACCTGCTCGGTACTCTCACTGGTTTTCAATGCTTTTTTTCTACCTGATATCAATCGAAGGTTGAGTATGAAATAAATCGAAACCCTAGAAACTAACTCTTGAGAATGACCTTCTGCGTTCAGGTGTAAAACTCATCAACAGTCCTCATATAAAGATCTGCTTAATTGTGAGTTTTTTAACCAATGCTTTTTTCAAGAAATTGAAGTTATTCAATACATCTACATCTTGTCAAATAATCTTAGTGAGAAAACATACAACTATAAAATGTAATCAATGAACTCTTGTCCCTTTGCAGATAAATGGATGATACTTTTATCTTGCATAAGTATGAAGTCGATACCGAGATCTTTCTCAAAACGTTTAATATGACCCACCCACATAAGAAACAGAAACGGGACAATACTATGTCATTTCTTGATGTCCTGATAACAAGAAGGCAATATATTAACACTAGGCAGGGTTATTACAGGAAAATATCATGGATTGGCTAATACACCCTATTTCAGGTCGTGAAACCTCATCAGGGCACTGATGTTTCGTGATAGGAAGATCTGTACAAGTGACACTTTTGACAACGATATAAAGAAATTAGAAAAAGTATTGTATGAGAACGGTTATCCAGAAAAAATGTGTTGAAGAGGGAGAAATACTTGAAAACGGTGCCGAAGAAACATGTATATGAATTTACCATTCAAAGAAGACAAAACCCCCAAATTTAACTGTGGTTATGAAGATAGTTACATAGGTAGAGTGACTCGGAGAGCCCAGTGTCGACTTCTTGAGCCTAATAATTTTGTTCAGAAAATTTTATTTTCAACCCGTGTACCTCTCACGGACTTCAAACCCAACCTAGAATAGTTATCTCTTCCGATGGCACCAGACAACTGTAAATATTATTTTCATTTGTAATGCTAACTTTATTATGGGTATCATACTGCATTATAGTTACATAATTTAATCTTAGTTTCACAATTTATCAATATTCCGTCCAGATCCTCTTTGACTGGATTTGATTCTTTGGAGGATTTGATCATGAGCTGACACCAGTTAGAGAACTATTGGAAAACCAGCAGGGAGTACAGGACAGCTGTTGCCATCTTCCTAGTTCAGTACTCTTCAGCAGTACGCACCCATCCAACTGCCAGGACCTACTGATTACAAGGCGAGCTAGCTTGTAGACCACTAGGTCACTGGGACCCAATCCAATGGCCAGCCAGTCCATGAATTCTAACTTCCGCTAATTCATGACATGACCACATCGCAATGTCTTCCTCTTCAATGAATTACTGCCTCATCTTCAACCTACTGCATCCTACTAGTCACGGGTTCCCACTAGAATCTCAGGGATCTACCCAACCTGAATAAGACCAGTTGCTAGTGTGCATCAGATTGATTTTTTCAAGTCTTGATTTTGTGTAGGCATTTTGGTTCGATTGGTTGGAGGATTTCATCACGAGATGACGTCGTTGATCTATTGATCCACACATTGGTTTTCAAATCTCTATGACTGATATATATATATTTTTCTTTAATTGAAATTGTAAGACGTGATGAGAATTTACCAAGATTACGCATTGGGCTGGTTTACTTTAAATGGTGTTCTAAAATTATCTTTCTGGGAATTGTTTAAGCAAAATTATACAAATAAGACATATATGTAACAATAATTTAATAATTCCCATTGTAGCATTAAGAACACAATTTTCAGCGAAGAGACTCTTTTCAACAACGAATTTATAAAGAAATTATATCCGGTGAGGGAATTAGGTCAAAGGTGTAAATACATGAAATAATAATAGTATGAAATAAATTTAAAATATTTGTGATTATATTCATAGTTTAAGTCAAGTTGAACAACAATTAATGTTACATATAAGATAATACATCAGGTGTATAGATTTTGGGGAGAGGAATATAATTGTAAGATTAATAGACGAATATAAAATGTTACGTAACATGGTGTGAAATTTGGTAACATAGAATTTAATATTGTAAAAATAAAGATAAAAAGTATACACATGAATAATTTTTGGTTTAAAATGTCAAGTAAGTCAAGTGGAAAAGATTCAGAATGAGAGTCGTAATAATAATAATAATAAAAATAATCGAAGTAATAAGGGAAAAGTACATAGAATAACTAAATAAATAAAATAAATAAATGTCTATCCCTCTACGGCCAAGGCAGCAGTAGGGATTGTACATACTTCTTTTGTACACAAAGGTCTGGCTTAAAGTCATGAATTGCCAAGGCCTCAGCTGTCTTTAGAAGTCTGTAACGAAGAAAACGCGGGAAGTTAGCATGAATTCTATATATGACCTTGAAATCATGGTCAGGGTTGACCGAGTGACAGAAGTCGATGAGGTGTTCTAAGATAGAGCTTCGCACACATTTCCTTTCTCCCTTGTAAAACCAAGCTGGAATATGTTCTCGTATCCGTGTGGAGAGCATTCTCTGACTACGGCCAATGTACCTTGCTCCACAAGAGCAGGTGAACTGGTAGATGCACATGGAGGCGGTTAGACGGGGGAGCTTATCTTTTACAGAGGTAGAGAACAATTTGCGGCTCGTGAACGTCATATGTAATCTAGCTGCAGGGAACGTTTTACTAACTGATTTAGAAAGACGATTTTTGAGCATATCTGAAGCTTGATCTTACAATATTAAATTTGTATCAAATTTACACCATGTTACGTAACATTTTATATTCGTCTATTAATCTTACATTATATTCCTCTCCCAAAATCTATACACCTGATGTATTATCTTATATGTGACATTAATTATTGTTCAACTTGACTTAAACTATGAATATAATCACAAATATTTTAAATTTATTTCATACTATTATTATTTCATGTATTTACACCTTTGACCTAATTCCCTCACCGGATATAATTTCTTTATAAAACCATATATATACGATTGTACAGCTTGATAATAAATTCGTTGTTGAAAAGAGTCTCTTCGCTGAAAATTGTGTTCTTAATATATGTTACAGGTTGAAAAAAACATTACGACTTACTTTACCACAATGTTTACATTTATTATCTTGACGTTTACGTTTAATCCAATGATGTTTTGTATTCTATACGAGAAACAGAGAGAAAAGAAAGAAACAAACAAACCAAGAAGAGAAGGAATGAAGGTGGATGGATAGATCGAAATAGGAGGATTAAAAAAAAAGATTTTTTTAAAAAAAAAAACAAGTCGGAGACACAAACTACAATACTTATTTATTACATCTAGTTGATAGAGTAGTTTAAAAAGCAGAAATTCATTGCGTAACACCATATCTCGGACAGTGAATCATAAATTATCTTCAAATAGAAACAAATATGCCTAATTTCTCATATTGGTTTTTGCTCAGAACAACAATAAACTAAGGGGAACACGTATTGTTTTCAGCAAATCATTCTTCTTATTTTTCAGGCTCTACAATTATAAGTCTGTTAGAGTGACATTAGAGACTAGAAGCGAGTACTGGCTGGGTGTCTGTTTCGTCCCAATCGGGAGCATATCAGTGGTTCACACCCACTGCTAGAGTTCGAACTCTAATAAATACTTGCCATTGACATTAACTGGTGGTCGTGCTAAAATCGTGAATTGGATCCCAGTGACTGATTGGTTCACAAGCTCGTCTTGTAACCAGAAAGGTTCGAACCCTGGTAGTGAGTGTGTGCTGCCAATGAGTCCTAAAAGATTGTCTAGTACCCTCTGGTTTTCAGTGGTTTTTTAAATGATATCAGTTCATGGTCAAACTTGAAAGAAATAATTATAGCGGCCAATTGTTTTCAATAAATTCGTCTTCGGGGTGTATAATTACCGATCCATTCTTTTTTCCATGAAAATCATTTATTACACACCTTTTACGACTTCATGAGATTACTATATTATTATTTTCTTTTAACTTGTATTTGATGCATCGGTGACATAGAGGTTAGGACGATTCCCTACGATACACAAGGTCCGTGGTACGATCCCTAGCAGGCGCATTTCTTGGGTCCCAGTGGATAATGGTATACGAGCTCGCCTTGTAACGAGAATGTCCTAGGCTCGAATCTCGGTGAATTCGTACTGATGAAGAGTCCCAAAATAGGATGAAACAGCTGTCCAATATTCCATGGTTTGTGCATCGGTGGCACAGCGGTTAGGACGCTCACCGACCATGCACATCGTCCGGGGTTCGATCCCCGGCCACAAATGCACTCCTTTACTTCGCCAAGCCAGAAATAATTCTGGTAAAGAGGAAAGGTTGGGTATGAGGCTAGTAACGCCATCCTATAAAATTAAACACTGCTACAGAAACTTCAAGCCACTTCAAGCTCGAGGTCGTATGTCCCACTGGAAATCTGAAGGAAAAAAATAACTTGTGTTTAGCTAGTGCTTTTCAAACTCTTTATCATATTTAAACAATTCTAATCATTACACTTCATTAAATTCATCATAACATGTGATGTCCGGTGGCTCACCTAAAAGTTGGTCTGCTGAAAACTTCTATCAATGTATTGCATATAATTCATTTTACTCATTTTGTTTAAATCTAGTGAAATGTGACCTGCAATAGTATTGCCCACTCTGGTGAATATTTATAAAATTTACAAGCTGCTCATTTACGAGTTTCTACTAAACATGTGAAAAAGCGTCATCAAGCTCGATGGCGCCTAATCCCAATACATGAGATGACCGTTCCTGATTGGGGTCCTTGGTTCACAGAATGTACTCCTGAGCTTATTGGCTTTCAGGAAATGTCGTTTATTTCTCCAAGGAGAAAAAGAAGAGATGTCATCATGGATTGGTTTGAGCTTCAGGTCAGATATTAGTTAGAGAACCACTGGACATCAACAAGGAGTATTGGGTGGCTAACTGTTTTGTCCCATGGTGGGACTCACCGGCAGCACAAATCCGAGCTCTTAGACCGTTCAGCTACTGGGATCCTATTCAGTAGCGAATTGACTTCGAACTTTGGCCAATTAGTTTTACTTTTTCATATTTTGGACTCTATTTTCAACTCTGCTTTCGTCACGATAACTAAAATTCATAATATTATTATTATGATTGTTCCCTTGGGTTCCTAGTGGAACATAGGGCTTCAACTGCACATCTCCACTTGCTTCTATCTTCTGCTGTAATTTTCACCTGCATTCATGTCAGTCCATACTCTTTCACCTCCTCTTCACACGATCTCCTCCATGTCACTTCTGCACCGACGACCCACTCGCCGCTTCCCTTTCAGGTTCCACTCGAGCAATGGCCTGACGCTCGCGAGATGACACTCACCGGCCTCCTCGGCCACGAGTGTCCCATCCATCTCCACCTTCTCTTGCATATTTGTTGGACGGCGATTGGTTTTTGTTCTGTTTCTTCCCATAGTTTCTTGTTGGTGATTCTTTCCGGTTCGGCCATCTGATCTTCAAATAGAGCGGAGACAGTTGTTGATCAAGGTCTGCAAAATGTTGGTGACGAAGATTTCCAGAATGGTTTCAGGTTGATGTGAATGTGTTTCTCGCCTTCCCGATTCTCTCTCGATTTGACATCCTCGTCCGTTTCGACTTCCTGTAGTTGAGACAATGCTCACTACCTAGATATGTGAATGAAGTAACCTCTTTCAAATCCCTCCCGTTGATGGTGATTGACGCTAGATGTTGGTGTTGTTGTTGGTTGATTAGTTATTTCCATAGCCTCCGTCTTGTCTATGTTCACTTGGAGTCCTGTCTTCGCCGGTGCTTCTTCGACCACTTTGTTGGTTTTCGCTTGTAAGTCTTCGGTTTTGTGTGACATCAAACATAAATCATCTAGGTTTCTTCACGTTGGTCCAGGATATCCCTGTCTTCTCGTTTCCACGGACTGTCAGACGCATAATCCAGTCCACCGAAATTAGGAATATCATTGATGACAATAATAACTAAAATACATGGCTGAGTTAATTTTTAACATTGTAAAGTCTAATAACCGAAAGAAAAATGTTATACAAACTGCAAGTGGAACTATAAGCGTGCATATGCCTATAAAATGAGATTTGTTGTAGTGATATTATTTAGCAGTTGGAAACAGTTTCTTAGCAAAGGAAATTTACCATGAATATTTTGGTGAACAGGTCGTAATGAAAGGCTATCTATCATCTATCTATACGATGCACTATTTGTCCAGTTGATTACTGAGAAGAAAGCTAAAGACAAGGTGCTAAAATGTTCTATTGTCAAATACTTTGCAGACTATGGACATGATACTGACACTTTTTTCAAGTTATTCACTATTGTAAGCGTGCGTCGGTGGTATAGCGGTTAGGACGCTTGCCGACCATGCACATTGTCCGGGGTTCGATCCCCGGCCGGCGCACTCCTTTACCTCACTGAGCCAGAAATAATTCTGGTAAAGAGGAACGATTGGGCATGAGGCTAGCAACCCCATCCTGTAAAAATTAAACACTGCTACAGAAACTTCAAGCCACTAGCTTGGAGCCCTATGTTCCACTGGGAACGTGAAGAGAAAATTATTTATTATTATTACTATTGTAAGCAGACAAAGATGTAAAAGGATACTTGCTGTTGCAGGGTCCTATAGAATTAGATTTTATAAATTCGGTCTTTATTTACAGAAGGAAATGGTGATCATTTTGAATCTACCATGATAACATGTTTTCCTTATTAACTGTAATTAGCTTTACTGTTATCAATATTATTATTATTCTTACTCATTTGCAATCGACTTTTCTCAGCACCCATTAACTTAACTCATTTCATTATTATTATTATTACTATTACTATTCTGTTTGCATTTCCTGACATCTTCGAATTCTTTCTGTGATAACTAACTGTGTATTTAAGTGGTGCAGCAACTGAGCCGTATTTCTTTTTTTTTCCTTCACGTTCCCAGTGGAACATAGGGCTTCAAGCTATAGACTTGAAGATTCCGTAACAGTGTTGATTTTTTACAGGATGGGGTTGCTAGCCTCATGCCCAACCTTTCTTCCTTACCAGTTATACTACTGGCCTAGCGAGGTAAAGGTGTGCGCCGGCCGGGGCTCGAACCCCGGCGAGCGCCTTAACCACTGTGCCACCGATGCACGCCGTATTTCAATATTATCTTAATTTTATTCTCTCATACCCTACACATACTTGAAGTCCTACTGGCGAAAACCAACAAACTGGAACGAGGGAATGGCAGCTAAAACACAGGACTTTAAGAGAATATAGAGAAAATGTACGCAATGAAAGTAATCAACTAACCAATCAACCAACAGCAATACGCAATGATCCTTATCAAAAGGATAAATTTGAAAGAGGTCACTTCCTTCATTTATCTCAGAAGCATCGTTTCAGCTATACGCAACCATCACGAATTTTTTTCTTTCCTTCACATTTCCAGTGGAACATACGACCTCGGGCTTGAAGTGGCTTGAAGTTTCTGTAGCACTGTTTAATTTTATAGGATGGCGTTACTAGCCTCATACCCAACCTTTCCTCTTTACCAGAATTATTTCTGGCTTGGCGAAGTAAAGGAGTGCATCTGTGGCCGGGGATCGAACCCCAGACGATGTGCATGGTCGGCGAGCGTCCTAACCGCTATACCATCATGAATAAGGATGTCAGAATCAGCCAAAATCGGAAAGGCAAGACAGATATTCACCATCCTCAAATCAATTTGGAAATCTTCTACACTAACTCAGCATAAAGAACAAGACTCGGATTTCCAACACCAGTGTCGATGAAGTCAGTTCTTCTACCTGGGTCAAAAACTTGGTTCACTCATTATAAAAAGAATTCGGTACAGTCTACTACAGACGTTTTTCGACAGCCACCTCCACTGATTATTGAAGGTCAAATAAGTGACCAGGGAGAATTAGCAACAAGATGCTCTGGGAACAAACCAACCAAGAATTTTTTGCTCAAACAATAATCTGAAGAAAATGGAGATGGATCGAACACATGCTGATGTGACTGACGAGAGAAACTTCACGCCTGGCCAGCGCTTGGTATGAAACCAGAATGGGAAACGACAAGCCTGGCGTCGCTTCGAAGGTAACAAGGCAGGTATCTTTTGACGACGACGAGGAGGAGGGAACATACTATAAGCAGTCATGGTGTA